TCATTTCCAGACCACATTAAAACCGCATTTAAACTAGCTCTTGCGCGCCTCCCCCAGAGGATACTGTGGAAATATGAGAGCGAAATGGAAGACAAACCGGACAACGTGTTGACGAAAAAGTGGTTCCCCCAACGTGATATTCTTTGTAAGAATCAGGGATAAGATTTATGTATACATAAATATATTTTTGTTATTTTTTTCCTGTTAATCGGGCACGGTGGAATATCTGGCTTGTATGAAGCTGTCGATGCCGGAGTTCCAATGCTAGGGTTTCCACTGCTCTACGATCAACCGAGAAACATTGATAATCTCGTTGACGCCGGAATGGCCATTTCACTCGACGTGATGACCGTCACTGAAACTGAAATTTTTGAATCGGTTAACACATTAATCAACGACAAAAAGTAAAAAAACCACAGCAAAAAATATTACGTTATAAATGAACAATATTGAAATATCGGACGATGCAAATGAAAATTTTTGAATCTGTTAATAAGCTAATTAACGACAAAATGTAAGGATTTTGGTCCTCCTTTAATAACTATCTTCCAGATCTTTGCTGATAGATAATAATACAAAAGTTATAAGTTGGTCTACTCTGTGTTCCTATACATAACATTTAACTTTTCAATACTTTTAAGGCATATTTAAATTGGCATATTTGTTAATCTGTACTTTCGTTATTTAAAATTAGGTACTCGTCTAACGCTTAACTAGCTTCTAAGCTTTTCAAGGACCGCCCAATGTCACCCGCTAAATCAGCAGCTTACTGGATGGGATATCTTGTACAACATAATGGTGCACAACATCTAAAGACAAAAGCGTTCAATCCCACGTGGTACGAATACTACCTTCTAGACATTCTATCCCTGATACTAGCCACATGTTTAGTCATTAACTTTATTATTTATAAAAGTTTTATATGTTATACGGAAACAATTTTTATTCCAGTTGAAGTTCAAAACCGAGTAATGTTTGTGTTATTCGTGATTTGTGATTTATATAACAGATTTATTAGTTTTTACAATATGTATGAACTTCACCAATAATAATTATTCCCGAACCATTAAACTTCTTTTCGGGCAATTGATTGGTGTAATATAGCGTAGTATTATGTAAAAAAAAAAAATTACCCCGCAAATTTGGTACTAAACTTGATATTTTTCATGAGTTATAGGGGTTAAATTCGTATGTACTCAAATCGATTTTAAAGGGAATAGGTAAATATCTGAAACTTTTGCCAGAATAATGTGGCCTTCGGGTTGTATCTCCAACATGAGTTTTAAAATAAAGTCCTTATCTGTAATCTTGTGGCACTTTTATGAGCCTACATAATAAGTGGTTATAGAAATGTATGGTGAGTCCACCTTTCGTGATAATCTGGTTCAGAACCATAAAGTACATTAATTGAAGGCAATAAGACAACTGTCAGTCATTAGTCATTGTTATAAGAATGCGTTATCTCACAATTATGTGTGTTGCAGGAAGACAGCTTAATAATATAGGTAGCTGACAAAGTAAAATAACCAACCAACTATATTAAAAAGTATTAGGCAAATGCAATGTTCCTATAAAATAGGAAATTATTATTGTTTGAATAAAAATATAATTAGTATTATAATAATCTCTCTGTTAAAATCATGGTTAATGGATAAATTTATGTATAAAAGTTTTGTACGCCAACATGTGTAATATGTATTAATTGTTTCGTAATTTTTTCTTAAAAATAATTAGGTAAGGTAATACCTTAGGCAAGCAAATTTTAATTGTTTTTATTGTAATTAGGAGTACTAGAATACAATAGTATTCTAGCCTAGGAATTAATTTAATAAAAAATGTATTTAAAAAGTATTAAAATTATTAAACCGCCAATGTAACGAAACATGAATACTATTCAATATTAATATTTAATATCACTATATTAGTTTATAATTGAACGTTTCAGTAAAGAATATATTAATAAATGTAGATGATCTATGTTTTTTGTCGTTAACAGTGTAGGTTAGGGATCAACGTAACACTTTAAACACAGCGACGCTTTTTACCAATACTTTAAACTATAATTAGTGCTCTTCAACAGCGTATCAGCAGATATTAGCAGCTGTAATTAAAGAAAATACATTCTATACATTATATTCTTTAAGTTGTTTATTTATTCGATTATGATGCACAGTCTGCAGAAACTACAGTGAAATTTCAGTCAATAGTATATTTTAATAAAAAAAAATTTTTATATTCTTTATTTTTAGTTATTATTTTAAATTAAGCAATTATTTAAAAAAATAGAACTTTTGGTTGCCATATTTACCTTAATAACACTGTTGAAAAAAGTTCATTCAGTTCTAAAAAACAGAATTAACATAACTCAAATTTATATGATATCAACCTATACGATTGAAATCGTGGAACTTTGTTTTGGGATATGTTTAGGGTATAATGGTTATTAAATTAGTAAGATAACAGTTAACTCATACAAATTACTATAATATGAAGCAATACGAATTTCTTATTTTGATCATTTAAATATTTTATAATTTGGAAAAAGTTCCAAAAGCTACAATAATTGTATGATACAAAAATTAAGTAAAACTTAACTATTGGATACGACTTGCTGCGGCTTGTGATCATAAACCCAATATTGATTTTTTTTTTTATTCAAACTTCTTTGATAATAATATTTATATAATCAAAGTTGGTGAACATAATGATGTATTTTATATAAATAAAAATATCCCGACTTCTTCATGTTTTCCATGCCCAAAATGTTGTATTATTTATTATTTTAAAATATTGGTTTGAAGAGCTATTCAAAAATAATATTCAATCCTCAATTCTAAATTCCACTACTTCCTTTACGCTTATGTAATAAAAACCAAAAAAAATAAAATATGCTCTATTAATTTTCGACTAGATAGCCGAAAACGCGATTAAGACGGGCACCGTCTTCTACAAAAATTGTCGGATATAACTAGTGAAATAAAACTGTTCTTGGTAATTACACATCTAAAGCACCACTTGATAGCTGATTAAGTTTGAGAAACATTTTTCTTATAAGTAATATTTACATAATTAATAATATCATTTACCCGTTTAAGTTTACTATAATATAACAAGCACTTAAGTCAACAAGCACTCAAAATACTAAACACTTTATTTATTACAATACACTTATTACATTACATTTGCATATCGTATACGTTTGTGTATAATTATTTTCCAAGAGTTTTCATGTTGACTAATGAAGAAGTAAGTAGGAATTAGGAAGTGTTATCATGTGACTATTATGTTTTTGATAAGACACGGAGGTAATTTTTTTTTTATACAATAAAATTTATATAAAAATCTGGCTTTTAAAAATTGTTTTTTTTTGTTGACATAATATATAAAAATCATATTAATAGTCCAAAATTTAAGACTAATCTGCATATTTTATAAAACACCCTTCGGTCGCAATTCACCACATTTTACGGTACGCAATAATCAATTTCTTATCTATGATTCCTTCCGACTTTCGAGTCTAACTACAATATGTTCACTACGAAGTGTCACGTCTTGTAATCACTTAACATCTTATCATACGTCTTAAGTAATGATAACGGTAGCAATCTTAAATATTATTAAGACTTTATTTTTTACCTGCATAACATGCGATTACTCCCACTTGCGTAGCTTAACTGACAGATCAGCTAAGCTACAGCTCAAGTGGGAGTAAAACCGGCAAAATAATTATTATGCAAATAGTTTAGATAACGTTTTTGTAATTTTTATCATGTTTAGATTATTTACATTCTCTATTGAAATTTTAAGGTATTAATTTTAACCGTGATCGGTGGTGTCAGTTTTGTGGTCTGTTTGCGTTTTATAATGACAAATTTTAAATAAAATCTAAAAAAGTCGATTGACCGACAGCTGACTTGTGATCGAGTACACGAGCACGATATAACTTAAATTGGGTAAGTACATTCACTATACTTGAGAAGTTTATCCTTCCGGTTTATAGATTGACTGCTCGCAAAGCCAGTCGTTAAGCACAATTTCAAAGAAATTCAAATTTCCATATGAATTTTATACATTGAGTGTACATACGTGTTATCGAGATAGAACGCATGTAGCTCAGTTTTAAAGTAATTTACTATTATTTCTAATAACATTTTGTGATGCCTATAGACATTAGTATATTATTAATTAATACAAATGATAGTTACTTGCCAATCACTGTGTAAGCCGTAGCAATCAATCCGTTTTATGCAGGGATTGATAACGTTATCAAGCAAAAATTTATATTATTTGTTATAACTTCATCGAATGTTGATTCAAATTGTATACAGCTTGGTATTTCAATAGCTTAACCAATTTTAAACTTGTAAAAAAAAAAAATTAATTAAAAACATTTCATAGTTTTATCATGCCTTTTGAAACAATATAAAGGTTTCGTTCCAGAAAGCATGTTATCTTAACTTTAAAATGTTTTTAGTTGACTTTTTTTTTACAAGTTAAACCAGTTAAACTATCAGAATATCATACTATTAATATTTTTGCTCGGTAACATTTTCAATCACTGGGCTTGTGTAACAATCTATTTCCTTTTTATTGTAAGGTTGATAAATACATTTATTTATTTTTTATTTTTTGATATACATACCAATAAATATTAAAATGCTTTTATTAAAAAACAATTAAACTGTTACAAAATCCTAAAAAATGACTGCCAAATCCCAATATGTGCATTTTCCATTTACAGTGTATATTTTAATTTCCGATATTAGTCACGAGACATTAGTTTACGTTTTGATCTCTAGATCATCACGACTGGCATTTATATACCTTCTATCTTTTACAGTGAACGCCATCACTGATTGCTAACATAAGCTAAAATAATGTAATTCAATTATAGCTTTTAATTGTTTCAGATTTGCAATATAGTGTCAAATACACTAGTGTCAGCTGTTCATAATGTTTGACACTGAAGATGATTTAATAAATTCATCGCAATTGTCTAGAGAATCTGTAAACGATGGGTTCGTGTATATTGTTCCCAAATCAACTTATGTTCCTCCCGAAATCGATGAAAATGATGAAAGTTTGTACGCAACTGGAATTCATTCTGGTATAAATTTTGAAAAATTAAACGAAGTTGAAGTGAAAATAAGCGGTAAAGATGTGCCAAAAGGAATCGAAAGCTTCGATGCCTGTGACAACATGCAAGATATATTAATGGAAAACATTAAGAAATGTAAATTCCATAAGCCGACTCCCATACAAAAACATACTTTACCGATTATCTTGTCTGGAAGAGACTTAATGGCTGCTGCGCAAACTGGGTCTGGAAAAACGGTAAGTAAGTTATGTTAGTAATATTGCAAACCATTATTACATTTAATCATCTTTTTATTTTATTTCGGGTAAAATTTGTATCTTTTATTCCTATGTTGACATAATGTACATTAAATTATTACATTAAAACATTTTTATCATAACTGTCTCAGCCAAAAGGGGTTTGAAGTTTATTATAATTCTATTTACAAATAAATATTCTTTTTGAATAATTCAATAGAACCGCTTAGGAACTATATAAACTACAACAATTGACTGTGGCCGGTTTTAGATTAGTATATTTTTCCACTACTTTCGTTATCTATCAAACATGTTACTTTTTTTAATTATACTTTTAACTTGTACCTAATGGGTATTTATTTTTAATGACATTTATTACGATTTCAACAATTGTTTAATGTCGTATCCAAATGCTACGTAACACATAAGTGGCTGATGAATATCGTTTAGTAGTTTATGACTGATCAATTAGATATTTTATCATATTTTACTGGCAAAAATCAATAATTTTTATAATTATTTATTAGTAAAATTTATTTATATTTTAAACTAACAATTTAAAATTTATATATATTTTCTAGGTAGCTTTTGTTTTACCGATTCTACAAAATTTACTTGCTAATCCTTCCAAAGTAGTCAGAGACAACAATCACAGCGAACCGCAAGTCGTTATTATGGCACCCACAAGAGAGTTGGCCGTTCAAATCAAAACTGTGGTATTGAAATTAGCTAGAGGTACAGGAATTTCTTCGTTACTGTGTTACGGTGGAACTCTCGTCCCTCACCAAAAGTCTCAAATTCTTGTAAGTATTTAAAACCCCCCCCAACAAAAAAGGCTTTAAATTAGTTTTTATTTTAAAATAATTACTTGCAGAGTCAAGCATGTAAAATATATCTAAATTCAATATTAAAAAAATACATGTATATTTATTACTTTATATTTAATTGTAAACAAACATTAAAGAAAAAATATTATAATATATAATATTCTATAGAATATGTAGATAATAAAATTTTGTTTGTCCCTTTTCACTTGTTTGTTTTAAATGGCAGCCCTGCACATATTATTTAACAAAATTCTACTAACATAGTTAGTTATTATAATATTTTATTTACATTAGAGAGGTTGTCACATACTCATCGCTACGCCGGGCAGATTAAACGAATTCATACAACACGGGTTCATCTCCTTCGCATCGGTAAAAGTTTTGGTTTTGGATGAAGCCGACAAGATGTTAGACGAGGACATGAAATTTGATGTGGATAAAATTCTCGATCATTTTTCCATGCCTTCAGTCGTAAGTAGTACCTGAATTAAAGGAAACTATTATAATGATTTTAATAAACCGTTTGAACATTATTGTTTTTAGATAAAGCGACAGACTATTATGATTTCTGCAACGTTGCCCGACGTCATACAACATCTGGCGGCATCCTATTTGAATAAGAATTATTTATTTTTGGCGGTAGGCATCGTTAGTAGTGCATCGAAAGACGTCATACAGGATATTCGTCAAGTCAATAAGCTCAAAAAACGAATAACACTAATTCATGTTTTAAATGATGGTATATAGGCAAACAAGAAAATTGTAAATAACCAATTAATTATGAATCCTTTCTTGTTTGAATTATTAGCTGACCGTAGCAAAGGAACTATAGTGTTTGTTAAACATAAATGGACGGCAGACTTTCTAGCCACTTATCTATGCGAAAAAAACTTTCCTTCGACAAGCATTCACGGCGATCGACTGCAAGAATATAGAGAACAATCTCTACAAGACTTTGTTTCTGGAAAGCGGAATATACTTGTCGCTACATCGGTGGCTGCACGAGGATTAGGTACGTTTTGAAAAAGAGCTCAGCACAAAAAATAATTATATAGGCCTATAGAATAACCTACCCCCATAGGATAAGTGTAGATATTGGAAGATAAGATGTAATTAGCTTAAAATTAAAAAAAAAAATTATCGCACTGTGAAACTATTCTCCAATATGCTGTTTACCTGTCCACATTTTTATTGTACGGTTAATTTTTTTGATTGTTTGCGCTTTATCAATCGCATGAATCGTACACTATTTTTAATAAAAATATAATTTAATTTTATGAAACATTTCAATTAATATTTGGTCAATGTGTAGATATCAAAAATGTCGGCCACGTAATCAACTTTGATTTGCCCGATACGATTGAAGAGTATGTACACCGGATCGGACGTACCGGTAGAGTTGGAAATCAAGGGAAAGCTACATCGTTTTTCGATGTCGATTACGATTACATGTTGGCACAACCGTTGATCAAGATACTAGCAATGGTATTCTAATTAAAATTTGTGTACATTTTATCATTACACTTATCGATATTATCGTTATTAAATTTTTAGGCCAATCAAGAGATACCTCATTGGCTGAAAACCATAGGAAAAGAAATCAACGAACAAAAACTTCCAGACGAGTGTGACCAGTTTGGAGGAACTGATATAAGACTGGTAAAGTTGACAATATTATTTAGGTTTTAATTATATTTTATTTATTCGCAAACATTTCTGTTGTAGAATTTCTCTTCATTCAACGAAGAAGAAGATTGGTAGCATGAATTTGAATTTTCAAGACTTCAATCGTTATTATTACTTTAAAATAATTTGAATACCTCGTATACATATCTAGATAACATTTGTTGTATATTTTTTATTTTTAAAATTAAAACAATCGATCGTTTAAGTATTGTGTATATATAAAAAAAACATTTTCTATAAACAAAAATATAGTTTAGTTTTAAATTGTTATTATCTAAACAATAATAACTTAGCTGGGTTATTTACGTAACATCATATTTTGTCTGATTGTCCACCTAAGCCGATCGTGTTTTTTTTCACCCGGTGCTTTATGGTTGCGCCACTCCAACTGGTAAAACTGGTGCAGTGCTACAGGGCCCCTTGGTCTTTTTCTTAAGATGACTGAATATTTTGAATCTGTTAAAACACCATTCAAAAACTTTATAAAACCAATAATAATATTTTAATAACTTGGTATTGGTTTTTTACAATTTTCTTCCGTTTGAACTCCTACAGACGAAACTGATTTTGAACAAGACAATCGTTCGAATACATTTTTATTTTTGTTTATACAACACCAGTTTTTACAACTTGTTTCTGGAACGGGTAGTTTCTGTTTTGCATCTATACATTTATTATTGGTTGTACTTGTCTTGACCGTTGATGTGTTTTCTTTGTCCTCGTGTTTTTTTTCATACTTAATTAATTTCTTCAGATCTAGATATCCGTCGTGCAAAATATAACAACATGTTAATTTGTATTTGGTCAATGGCGCATAATCTATGTTGAACTATAACCCACGTTTACCTTTTATAAAATGTTGTAGTAAATACGGTTCAATGTTTTCATAACCTAATGCTTCCAACTGTCGTTGGACTTCGGCCGGATCGACCTCCATTAGAACAGTATTTCTGGACCAAAAAAAATTTAAATAAAATTATAAAAGCATCTAATTATAGGTAAATAATAAAAACGACGTTGAAATGAAAAGAAATAATTACCCTTGTGATTTTTGTCGAGAGCCAGTTGGTGACTTACAATTTCTGAACCCAATTTTATAAATTTCAAATACGGTTATATCAAAAACTATTAATTTGTAGTTAGTACTGAAATCCACACTTATGGAACAAAATGTCAAGTACGAAGTAACTTCTACAATTAAGTAAGTATGAAATATATTAAATGTAGTAACTAGACTGTACCTAATAGACAACAGTTGTTGCGGCCTGTGGGACGGAGATAACATTGCAAAATTGATAATGCCCAACTAGAAATGATAATATTACAAAATGTATTGTTGTTATCGATATCTGCTATGTGGTCACACTGATGCCATTCTGTTATTCGAATATCGAAAAACCAACTCTCAGTCGTGAGTCGTCAGCCGAGTTCTAACTTCTGATTTAACTTATTTCTTAACGGAGTACCCTAGAAAGGCTATTACCGTTATTGTATTATAATAATACAATTTCATAACTTTACTACTACAAAAAAAAAAATTAGAACTACCGATGTACTTTGGATCATTATCATTTATCATCTACTATGTAAGTATACAATGTTATACAGCCCTGAAAAATTCTCAGATGGAACACTTAACGTTTCAACATAGATAGGTACTGTTTTTTTAATTTTAAGATCATTTTTGATCTACATGCAGTATAGGTAGTGACTAATCTAGGTGATCTAATAACAATATATCAACGTGGTGTGGGTTTGATCTTAATTTCATTGAAAACAATTTAAGTGTCTTTTTTTTTTTGCAGCCGTTTTAAAAATCAAATGTCTAGCAAAAGAACAGGACTTAGCACCGTATAGCCGAATAAATTATTTAACCCGAAACCCCACGTTACCAGAATTAATTTTTGATTTAAATGTTTTTTTTTTTTAATTCTAAACAATTCTGATAAACTTATTTAGGATAAATGTACATAAAATATGGGTTTACTAAATTATGTTGATAACAATGATTATTATGTAGGTTTTAAAAAAAAAATATTGAATCCTCAATACTGCAAATCGTCCTATTTGTATAATACTGGCAGTAACTAATAATAGTATATCATAACTGGCCATTAACGCGAGTCATAGGTAAAGATAAACTTACCATAGTTTTCTGATAGTCAAACGATTTAATTTTACTAATTATTTCAAATACATTTCAGACCTTGAATTGAAATAGGAATAGTAAGGAAAAGGCAATCGATTATGGAAAAAGAAGGTAAGTACTGAGGTTTTATAAATTATATTATTATTTATCAAGACCGGCGTAAGACAATATTTCAACCTAGACAAACTCCAATTTTGTCACCTTTGAGATATGCCGCCCTACGAAATATATGAACTAATCATAGATTAAATTTAGGCCATTCTCACATTGGGTTTTTTTTCATATTTTCTCGATAAGAAATACTTAATCACTGAGAATACTCGTGTGGAGGGCCATTGGAGGCGCAAGATTATCTTTACAACAATTCTTTTATAGATTTATAGAAATAATTATTTTAAGTTAAAAAAATTAAGACAAATTACATAAAATATTCTGTTAAATTGACATCAGGTTTAAAAAGATAAGACAAATACAATAACAATAGCACGAAAGATAAGAATAAATTATTATTATATATAAATGAATATTATTTAAATCGAAAAACGAACACAGTAAACTAATTAGTTGAAATAATTGTGTGTAAAAATTAGATAATTTTCCGTTTTTTCGACTTATCAATGAAATTTTACCTCTTTCTTTTTAGTTTTTCTAAGTGTTTTTATGGAGAACCCAGTTTGAAATTTACACATTTTATTGTTTAGCTTATTTCTGCCTTACTAATTCAATGTTTTTCTTTTATTATTAATATGTTAGCCATACTCCTGAAGGGACGACCAGGGATATGCGAAAATTACTTTTACTATTTTTGTTCCCTTTGTTATTGAAGCATATTAATGATTTCAATGGACACATTTTGTTGACCTGAATAAAAGAATAAAAACTTTGGCTTAATAAAACTTTTACTATTTATTGACTTAATTATACTGTAATTAATGTATAATTTATTAAAGATAGGCATATTGAATATTTGATTTTTTTATTTTAATAATTTTATATTCTTCTGACTTTAAAAATAAATTTCCATTGTTTTAGACATTTTTTACTGCTTATTGTTTTGATAAATTATTTTTAAAGAAAATGTTCGAAAAAATCCCCCTAAAAAGCATACATAACTTAAAAATGCCTCAAAAAGCAAAAAAGACCTAAATATGCAAAAATATGCAACATAAAATTACAGATTTGGTTTTGCCATAACTTAAAACAAATTTCTTTATGGTTGGCCTTTTTATACGGCTACGCAAAACAAATATGCAAATGCTAAAAGTCCTCTGCCCTACTTATGATAATAGTTTTACAAATTTTTAAAACACAGTTCATAGAAAAGAGGAAGTTTTTTCGGAAGGTATTTCAAATTTTGATTAAAAAATCATGATTTGTAGGGGGAACAGTCATAATAAAATTTGACCGCATTAAATAATTTATTCATTATGTGACCACTTGGATAAGAACAAAAAGACAATTCACTTCTTTATGCTGGCTTTATGTCATGATAGCTTAACAAACTCGGCAACCAATACCGACACAATTTGAAAAAGAGAACTATTAACTACTGTTAAGACGTGTATTTCTAATAATTTTACAATTTTGTAAGTATATGGTTAGATTTTGTTAAATATTGTCTACAACCATAAACAATGCATTACATTTTGCTATATTATTGGAATTCTTTGACGACACTTAATATGGTTTATTTAAGCAACACGGGCGACAAGCCCGTTAAACAAATAAATACCAAAAGGTGTAAAACTATTATTGTTTATCCATACACATACGTTATCTAGAAAAATACAGCACTACCTAAATGATTCCAAGTTACTGTTCAATCGCCGTGTTCCCAAATCGCGAATAATCTATAGCTACAACCCGTACTGTTTCTGTTTTTTTCCCCACAAAATTGTCTACCAGACTAAGATAGGGAGTTGCGCAGTGGAAGCGTGCTGGACCCATAACCTGTTATTTATTGAATTAATTAAAGTAACAAAACAATACACATGAGGCAAAAAGAAATGAAAAATACATAAGAGTATATTAAACTTAATGTACAAAATATTAACTAGTACACATGACACACAGAGAAAGAAGAACAAAATAGGTTATGTATAAGTAAACAGAAACATGATAAATAAAAGTGATAAGAGATTACAACAGATATTACTTTAAGAGCAGACATGGCTTTGTTATTTTTAGCAGCAAATTTCTCGGTAGCAACCATTGCGATTCTAGTCAGTTTTCAATATTTATTGATATGGACAATATTATCGCCAACAAAAACCTAACCGTGAAAAAAGGGCCAAGTTCCATAACCATAAAAATCAGCCTATCAAAGTAGTGATATTTACATTGCGGCCAAGTCTGCCTATTCTTTAGTCCATAACCTCACTTCACTCCTACTCTCACGAGCCACGCTATTTTTTTTTTATTGCTTAACATTTGGTCGGTTTCTAAATGAGGCATGAAACATCAGTACCGTTTGTATTCAAATACAGTGGTCAGTGGGCGATGGGAAAGAGAGAACTCAGTAGAAAAAAAAGTTCCAGCTCCCCTCTTAAAATAGTCAGCCCATCAAAGTAGTGTTATCTACATTGTGGCCAAGTCTTTTGTATGCCCCATTCAGAAACTGGCTAAGTGTTCAGCAATATAAATAAAAAAATATTGTGGCTCATGAAAGTAGGAGTGAAGTGAGTTTGTGAACTAAAGAAAAGGCAGACTTGTACGCAATGTAGATATTACTACTTTGATAGACTGATTTTTTTTTTTGGGGTATGGAACTTGGCCCTTTTTTCACGGTTAGGTTTTTTTGGGGATATTAATATTATATTATACGCAATAAAAATTGGCTCACAGCGATACTACTGCGTTTATAAAAATAAAAAAATGTATACATATTTTCCGAATCGCATTATAGTAATTATCAGTGTTCTATAAAAAAAACAATTGTTAGGGAAACGGTTCATTTTACTCGTTCGTGTTGTGTGTAAGACAAGATTGCAAGACGTGAAGACGAAATCAATTAATTATTTGTTGATTACTCTCATTCTCTAATTACTATACCAATACAACACATGTATGCTGTAAATACAATCTTGGTGAGTTGGTATCAAGAGCCTTCTAGTGGCTTTATTAATTAGTTAAACTAATTAATACCTTCTCAATGAAATAAAAACTCTGTTCTTATGTGTTGAAGTTAAATAAAGTGTTTATATTTAAAAAGTTTCAAATGTTGCTTTATATTTATCACTGTACAATATTTAATGAAGATGCATCCCTGGCTCTCTTCAACTTGATATAAATATCTTTTAGCTCCGGAAGATTTATAGTGGCATACAACAACAATTTAAAGTTGGTCTGGTTTATTCTTCCTATATTGTTATCTACAACTAACATTTTGAAATATACTAGATTAAAATTAATAAAATATTAAAATAGTTATATTCACCTTAGACTAATTCCTTATAGGTAACCAATAATTTCTAAAAACCTGTGAATTCCGCGTTACCAATATACTCCATCCCCTCTATGATCTGACCCTACTGAGCACTGTCCTCTTATTATTTTTTGTTTTTTACATTATTTTAGAAGAATCTAACATTTCAAAATGTTAAGTAATATTTGTAAAAGGATGTTACATTATGTATTGTAGATATATACATTTTTGTTGGCATAATTATTTTGTAAAACTAATTGAACTACCAAACATTTTTGTGAAAGAAAACCAAATCAAAAAACATACATTTACTTAACCCCAACTCTATTTTATCTACTAATAAATAAATTATACAGTTTTGTAAAAATATTTCCGTTGTATCTATATCGGCTAAAATTTTTTAACAGAACGTCAACGTGTTTTTTTTTTATTACATCTGAAGTTTTAAACAAAATACAGAATTTCCCAATTTTCTCTTGTATGAAATAAAAAATGCACATTAATAAAATTATAGAAGTTGAACTATGATAATATGGTATAGATTCGGCTGAAAAATATCAGTTTTCAACATTTTTAATGGGAATGGGTTGTAGATAGAATTATACTACACAAGAATCGTATGTATTGTAAGTCACTCAGAATAAGTGCAAAACTCACCTTACCCGATTGGCCTACTGTCAAGAAGGAGGAGGGCTTAGCACTTGCTATTATTGAGTATTAATGTGAGATACTACTTTGTTTTAATGCACTTGGAAACCTTCATAGGAATAACGTTGTACCCCGGCTTATAAAATGTAAAATTATGTCTACGCAAAATACAAAAAAAAGTATGTAAGATACAATAAATTATTATTTTTAAATCCAGCGACTCTCTCTATAACACTAAAGATGGAAACATCCGCATTTCAGCCCAATCTTTATAGTTTGTGTAGTAATCAAATGGTAAATAAAATACTGAATACATAAAATCATAGTTACAGATTAACCCTCGATGTTCTTTTAACCAGCCAGATATGTTTTCGCGGTGTGTACCGAATATGTTATGGGCCAAACGTCCAATAGGAATGGATCCGTTTTTCTTGTTGTCCGAAATATCCCATATTGCATCTATCACCTGAAATATTTTTAAGGCTTTCGTTAAATTTGAATTAATAAAATTCTATGAAATTGAGTTTTAACCATCATAACTTATCGACCATAAATAAACTAAGTATAACATGTACTTTAGAGGATTGGATATCGATTAAATCTAAAAAAAAATCTAGATAAAAAATAAATTTGTTTTAATCGAAATTTTAAGTCAGTATTGTAAATGTTTTTGATTCTAAAACAAGGTAAAATAACAAGAAATCTTACGAAAATATTGTTTTCACAAAATAAGTGTTTTCCCATTATGAATGAGCTAATGTTGTTGTTAAAGCAAATCGTAAATAACTGTAACTTAAAAATTAAAAGTATAAACTTAATACTATATCGATGGCAAACATTTCCTAATGCTACTTTTTTTTTATGTTCAATATAGTGGTGTACCCATTAAACATTTATCAAAAGCCGTGCTGGCTTTTGGTTTGGACTGTGCTATCCAAACCAAAAGTATTAGAAAACTGAGAAGTAATCAACGTTTTTAAGCTAAATGTTTATTAATTATTGAGTTATTTATTTATTTAAACTATTAAACACAAATAGTTACACTATTTGAAAATATTAGTAATATAAATGTTTAATCATTCATGTTTATTGATAAATTAAAAAAATAATTTACCAATCAATTGTAGCAAATTTTTTTTTAAATGTCAAATACTTTGAAAACAACCGAAAGTTAACTACAATTTTAAACAATGTTAAACAGCTTTAATTTTTGCTTAAAATGAAAAACGTGTGCCCTATTCAACAAAGTCCCTAATAAATTTATCAGATAAAATTTCATATAATTTTTTTTTGTAATTTTAATTTGGTTCACTTTTACTGTGTGACACATACATTTCATAATTCTTAACTCATGAATTTGGACTTTGTTGAATAAGGCTCACGCTTTTCTTTTTAGTAAGAAATTAAAGATGTTTAACATTATTCAAAATTGTAGTTAATTTTCGGTTGTTTTCAAAGTAATTGACATTTTTAAAAAAATGTGCTAAAATTAATTGTTAAATTGTTTTTGTTGTAAACTTATTTTTTACTTTTTGGTTCACTTTTTACTATTTTTTTTTTTAGAAAACCATGTTTTTAAAAAAGTTGTTTTTTTATTAATTTATTTTATTTTTTACTTTTTAGTCTTGGTAAAGGTACTTAATAATTGTGAATAGATTACTAAATTAATTTTGAAAGATTTGAAAACACATGGAATTTTAATGAAATGATCCCCATTTTCGACCCAATGGCATTTGGGACCTGGATGTCCGGGTCCTAATATGATGCCGGAACATTGTATTTTCATCCAAAATGGGTGTCTGGGTTAAATTCCAGCCTTCTACGATATTGGGAAGTAGGTTAATTTAATTTTGTAAGATTTGAGAAAAACGTGAAATTTTAGTAAAATGACCCCCAACATAGTCATGGGTGATCTGGATGTCCGAGTCCCAATATTGTTACAGGATATTGTATTGTCGTTGAGATGAGTGTCTGTGCCCAGTTTCAGCCCTCTACGACACTGGGAAGGGGGTTCAATTAATTTTGTAAGATTTGAAAAACACCCGTACGTGTTAGCGATTTAAAGAAAATCATGTAATTATTCTTACCAGATCAGTTTCCTCTTCAACGTCATTGTCAAATAGAGCTTCGATCAGATCTAATTCGTTTTGTGTTGTCTGACAATCAGTAATAGTTACCTAAACATACAGTTGACAGTTAATAAGTCAATTAATAGTAATAATTGTGTTGAATCATTTAAAATAAGAGTTTTGGTAGCATCGATACTCTATCGTTCCTACGGCAAGCCGTTTAATAGTTTCATTGCGATAGCTGAGCAGGTATTTCAAATTGTTTTTTTTATTTCAATGAACAAAAAGGAATGAACTTGATTTTTTATTACTTACTTTCAGTCTAACCTCATAATTTGTCTGTTATTAAAATTTCAACCTAAATTTTACGACATATTCAGTGTGTTTGAATAATAATTGTCAAAAATGTATTTCAAAAAGAGTTTTCTTCTTTTTTTTTGTTTGTTAACTAGAATATTTCTGTCATAAGGGAATTATCGTTCATAATCTATTAAAGTATATAAAAAAAAATATACTTTGAAAATCTCCATATTTTTCTTAAAGAATATTACAAGTTGACATAGGATAATTGGGACGGAGAGTTTTCAGATCTTCAAGATTTAGTATAATTGAGAGTGATTAAATAATTATTGTGTAATCATTTTATTTAGTTTTCTTCAAAAAAAGAAATTACTGCCCCGGATTCTTTTTGAGTCGAGTTGAGTTGAGAATATTTAGATGAGCATTTAAACTAGAAGGTTAGAAAATTCATAAATACAAAACACAAAACAATTAGATATTTCGCCTTCATTTTTCTCTACTAGTTCAACAATTTAAATTGCGCCTTTCTATTTAAAATCACAACAAAACTGTTTACCTGTTCAGACTTCTCTTCATCAGATCCGTCTGATTTTACTGTCTGACAATTATTAATAAGTATAATAAAAAGCATAACAATTAGATATTTTGCCTTCATTTTTCTTTACAAGTTGAAAAATTTAAACTGTGCCTTTTGTAACAAAATAATAAATGTACCATTTTCATACTATGCAGTGGCTAGTGTGCAGAATACTCAAACGAACTGTGGTTTACACATATGGTAATAATGTTTTTTTTTTTTTGTTAGCTGTAATAACAAATAGTATGTATTCAAGAATATGTTCAAAAGTATGATTCAAACAAGATTTTTTTGGCAACACAAACTGTTTGCTCAAAACAAATAATACAGTATAGTATGACGCATGTATAATATAGAGTACCTATGGCGTTTCGTTGATTTTTTTAGAAAACCGACCGCAAATTTCTTAAAGAACTAACTGCTGGTTTTGGGCAAACATAGCTTGAAAATCCTAAGTATCCATTAAGTCACAAACCATTCAAAACTTTTTTCTTGAGTTTTTGGAAAATTTACACTGATTTTAGAATTCTGAAGTTTACTTATATTATATACTTGGACATATATTGTAAGCAAACTAGAATTCTTTGAATATTTCCTTAAAATATAACCATAATAAGCTGTTCGTTCGTGATAAACCTTGAATAACATACATAATACATAATATAATATAGGGTGATTTTTTTTATCACGAGTCACTCAATATCTCATAGGGCTAAATAAGAAATTACATTTTTTTTTTCATATTGTTTTTATACAATGTAATCTCAATTTTCCACAATTTTCCACAATTTTCATTTGTTTTTACCCCTTCCTAACTTAGTTTTATTAATATCAACTTTTGAAACTTAAATGGTAACGCATATATTTCTTAAATTAAGAATAATGCATTATAAATTATGACTGGTCGACAACCAGTTTGGGATAACTATTTTTAATGTTATAAGAATTTTAAAGTTAGGATTGGAGGGAAAGTGCGGTGGGGAAATGCGCGCAGATAAAACTGATTTCGTAGTCATCATAGTGTTGGTAGCAATTGTAATTTATAGAAAAATGTAATTTAAACTTCCAATCCACTTATCAAAAAGAATATTATAAATCAAATCTAAGAGTAACCATAGTAATATTATATTCTTCACTATATGTCCCTATAGTCTATATTATTCATTTTGTGCGATATTCTTGTGAAAGATTCAGCAATATTATTGTCTTTATTTCAATTATTACTTTATAGACGTCGAAATATCTCTACAGAAATGGCTCAAACCGGAAGTGTTGCCAGTAAATTACAAACCTTCCCAGAAGAAAACATTGGTAAGTGCACATATTGAACGTTTATTTTTTAAAGGGCGTGTACCAGTTACTAAAAGTTTTTAAAAAAAATGTATGTAATAGATATGTTTGCTGCTACTAGCGTGTTACAACAACAAGCGGCAGAAATAAGAAATTTAAAATTAAATTGGGCGTCTTATTTGAAGTATAATGTCTTAAAAATAATTATTTTCGCCATTGTATCGGCCATAATAAAATAATATTTGTTTTTAATAGGTCACAAATTATATCGCAAGAAGTGTTCAATTTTATTAGTACCTACGACGCTAGTAGAAATAGAGGCCAAATTTTAAATAATAACCGTGCACAAGCAGCTGAAGCGTTCTTTGGTTTGTTAGAACATATATCTAAAGAATCGACTATACAATATGTGCTCGTTTTGATTGATGATTTACTTACAGTAATTCTATTATAAATGCCATAAGTCATTACGCTTATCTCTTATTACAATTTGCCTAAGTATTAGTTGAAGGGGCACTTTATTGAATGTAAACTTCATATTTTAAAGTACGTCAATGATACTTATTTTCACTTAAAACATATAGACATAATCTTATTTAATATTTTATTTCAATATATGCGCTAGTAATTTTAACTTCATAGTTATATAGTTAAAATAAATAAAATGTTGCAAACAAGTAGTTTAATGGTAGATAATTAAAACCGCTCTGAGCATAAGCAACGGCAATACCATTTGTTATAGAAATACTATATTTTATCATGTTTTTAGGAAGACAATTCAGGAGCAGAAATATTTTACGAATATGCTCTGCGGAGAAATGAACCGGTGTGTAAGAACTTTTTGAACTTGTTGAATGCTGCTGATGGTTTTATTAACAATATGTCAGCACGTATATTAGCTAAAGTTGCTTGCTACTCGACGGATTACATTAGTAAAACTGATCTCCAGTTTTATTTGAACTGGATTAAGGAGCAGCTGTTGTCGACTGTAAGCATATTGTAAAATTTGTTTTTGTTTTTTCATAAAAATTATTTCAAAATAAAATACTTTAACTATCCGTGGGGTGTTTTAGAATAATGAGTACATGCAATCGGTTGCGCGTTGTTTACAAATGTTGTTACGCCGTGATGAATACAGAACTGAGTTTATTTCAGTTGATGGCATGCCGGCTGTGATAAGTGTATTGTCTGGACGGGTTAACTTCCAGATACAATATCAATTGATCTTCTGTGTTTGGGTCATGACGTTCAATCCTCGTTTGGCTGGACAAATAAACGAGTAAAATAACTACTAAAAGGGAAATTTTCATAGATATATGTTGGGGCACAGGGAAAAAACGGTAGTTGTCATATTATGAACATTTTTTTTTTCAAATAGTTTTTTTCAATTTATGCCAATAACTTTTTTCAATTTATGTCAATAGATTGTTTAAATAAATACATTTATTATTAGAGTAGCATTTAATGTAATTTTTTTTGTTCTTATGTAAGAGGTAGAGGATTTCACAAACTTTGTTTTTGCTATACTCTAAAATTTTCATAATGGGACAACTACCGTTTTTCCCCTGTGCCCTTCATATATAATTCATATAATTTTACATTAACTAATAATAAATGTCAATCCAAAACACATTAAAATAAGCATTTTTCAACGAGTTTAAATTTTGTTTATGTAACAAAAAGTCAAAACTTTTTTAAACAAACAAAAATCTTTAAAAATTAAGTTATCTGTCAAAAATTACTATTGTAAAAATTTAACATATGTGCATATCTTATCCCATACTAGATGAATTAAACAAAAATGTTACTTATGGTTTTCATAATGTAAATAATTTTCAGATTTAATGTTATTCCGATATTGGCAGACATTTTAGGAGATTCTGCCAAAGAGAAGGTCACCAGAATTATTCTTGCGGTTTTCAGAGTAATATTTAACATATGAACCACATAGTCTCTTTTATAACGATCATTGTTGTTTAGAACCTACTAGAAAAGCCGGAGGACAGCTCTACTTCCAAAGAACATTGTAGCGTTATGGTCCAATGTGAAGTATTAAAACAACTGAGTATTCTTGAACAGAGAAATTTTAATGACGAGGACATAGTTGAGGACATTCAGTTCTTGAACGAGCGACTCCAAGCCTCGGTAAAAGATTTGAGGTAAAATCAAACTAAAAAATAATTTTACTACAGCTGTTGTAGGTAGTGATATCATAATCTCTATATTTTTTTTTTTAAATTAACTAGCTCATTTGATGAATATGCCACTGAAGTAAAATCTGGCCGTTTAAAATGGAGTCCCGTTCATAGATCTACACAGTTCTGGCGTGAAAATGCATCGCGTCTCAATGAACGGAATTATGAACTGTTGCGCAATTTAGTAAATTTGTTAGAAACGAGCCGAGATCCATTGGTTTTAAGTGTAGCTAGCTTTGACATTGGCGAGTATGTCCGTCATTATCCTCGTGGAAAACAGTAAGAATTATAAAAACAATCGTCTCGATATTCTGATTTGTATTTTAATTTTAATAAAGTGTAGTTGAACAACTCGGAGGAAAACAACTCGTGATGCAGCTGTTGTCTCATGAGGATGCCGATGTGCGTTTCGAAGCTTTATTGGCTGTTCAAAAGCTTATGGTTCATAATTGGTATGTTATTAGATTATTAATTTGTTATACACAACATGTGTTTAATCACAAGCTGTCATAGAAAAAAAAAACACAAATATTTCATTACTATTATTTCTAGGGAATACCTTGGACGTCAGTTAGAAAAAGAACAAAGTACCGGAAAGACTTAAAAATCTAACATGTTCTTTAATGCCGTGTGTTCATATAAACTTGACTTGAAGTCTCAGTTCGTCCCTGTATTATTTGTTAGTAGTTATGTAGTTATACAAATACAAAATACATTAACCATACATAGTTGAATTAAAATAGACAATTGGCCAAATATTTAAATATCAAATACAAAATAGCCTAAGTAGGTATCTTAAAATGTTTTTCACTATTCTTTTTTAAACTAAATTATGAGTTTGGCACAGTTTACTCATAATTCAAAAGTATTACAGATTTTAGAAATTTAGGTCTAGTGTAAATTGTATTGTATAAAATGCTCTATATTAGTATTAGGCCAAATTAATTTGATCTTTATTAATATATAAAAGCTACATTAGTATTGAACATGGCCGCTAATATTTTTAACTCAATCGCTTCAATCTTCGTATTTCTTTTAAATCTGTAAATTACTTAATCCTTCACGGCACTAACTCCGAAAATGTCGAAAAAATCATCATTTTAAAATACGGCCTAACTGAGGTGTACAAAAATACGTTTCTAAAAACAATTAATTTCAATGTAATGTGTTTGAGAATCATTTAGCCTTATCAAATATGTACTCAGGGTGCTTGATTTAATGCAAGACACTCATCATTTTACTACAGTTGTAGATTTAGTGCTTATGGGTAACATATCCTAATCTTAAAGATCGAACAATTTTGGGAAAATTTTTTTAAATATTGTCTACAACTATAAAAGAAAACCGTGTTTTATAAAAAGTATTCTTTCCATTCTCCGACGATACTAACACGGATTGGTTTACTTTGGTACACTTTAAACGGAGTGCCATTTTCGGTATACCTACAATATATACAGTGAGACGCAGACACTTGAACAGAAGTAATTGTCAATTAAAATAAAATTAAGGAAATTGCATTAATTGTTAATTCAAGAGGTACATATGAATAGCTATTCCCGCAAGTACGGGATTGACTGGTCGTAAATATTTAATAAGTAAAATTTGGTTTATGATTTTAAACTGTACAAGTAAATATACGTTTCAGGAGTAGCAAATGTGTACATATTTTGTTTTGTTTTGAGTGATTCAAGCTTGTATTTTCGTGTACATGATTAAGGATTGCTACAAAAGTTAATAAAAATATCAACTTACAAAGTATTGGAGATATAACATCTGTAAGCATGTTTTAAGTATTTGTTTATAATAGAATTTTTTAAATTTTTTATAAATTATGATTATAGTTACAAATGTTCTTATATAGAAACAAAATTCCAATTGTACAAATATGAAACGTGTGCTCTGAATTTACATGAGCGTTTTATTGCAAATAACATTGTCTTGCACCAGTCTTTAATAAAACTGTTTCTACGTAGTCTAAATTACAATTATTGCTAAGTAATGTATATTGTACGTGATTATTTTTGCATTAGTCATAAGTCTAATTATAATTTAAAAAATAAACTTCCTTGGCAAACGATGCCTTTATGTTATCTGCTCATTGTTAAAGTGGTTTGCTTAAATTTACTTGAATCAACAATATTGTTAAAAAATGTTCAGAACCCCAGTTAGTGTTTGATGAAAATAATGATATTTTATGTAAATTTTAAAGAAAAAAAACACTTATTCACATATGACGGCTCGTCTATGATAGCCGTTCAAACCAGCTCTAAAGTGTTGTATTATTATTATTATTGCTTTTAATCAAGTTGTAGGTAATGATCAAAAAGGTTTAGAAAAACCCGATTTAAGTTTTTACAGTTTTTCAAACAGTATGTTTGTTTATGCAATCAATGAATTGCATATGGTGTTATGGAGGTGTTTATGTATACACCTTTGTTTGAATTTTTCGAGATAATTCAATTATAACAAAGTTATTTTATACTATATGTGGTGAGAACTGAATAGCGGTAAAATGCGTTAATTTTTTTGCAACGAAATGAATTTCCTTTGTAAACTATGCATATATGTCACCTGATCTTAAGCGATTACTTTTAGCTTTGTTGTGGAGCTGAGAATGTATTGTTTTTTTACAATGATGTGTTTTTATTTTTGTGTCTGAACTCACGATATCTCGTAAACCGCTGAACCGATTTCTTCGTGTAGCAACTATTGATCAGAAGTCATACCTGGAAGGTACTTTATTAGGCTAAAATTATAAAAAGTCATCCCTTCCCCACCAAAATCGAGAAAAACACCCAAAGAATTCACAATTTATTCAACTTAAAATCACGATGCTCTATAACTTTTTTAAAAATAGTCCAAAAAAATTCCAAATTTATATGAATTGTTCTTCAAACCTAGTACTATCCATAAACATTAACAAACCAAAAAAACATTATAAACCATTCCCCCTAGAAGGGGTATAATTTTTTTCTTTATTTCACTTTTTCAAGCAAAGTTTTAGAGATTTAGATCTGAAAATTATACCGAAGTTAGATCTAAAATAGAACTATAACATATACAATTTTCTCAAAAATCTGTAGTCAAATTTTAGACTGTTAATTTTGCTTTAATATTAAATTTTAAGTACATTATTGCTAGTCCCACGATATCTTCTAACCCCTATAACTGGTTTGAATATACTATCCATAGATTCGCATGGAAGCGTTTATTTAAAAGTGATTTTATCACTATCAGTTATAATAAAATCTGTGGACCTGTGACCTCTCCGTCCCCACTATGCTCCGTCCCCACTGTACTGGCTTTTTTTGTTTAAATTTACTCAAGAATCAATAATATTAATGAAAAATGTATTGTTTATCAAGCTTTAAGTGGTTTACATATACTTAGTAATTAGTATCATTATTTTCGTTAATGTTTGTATATCGTTTCCTTGAATAAACAATCCGATTGCAAACTCTTTTGCAATATCTTAAAAGTTTCTTTCTGGAAGTTATCTAATTAAGTTGCATTTTTTCCAATGCATGATTATCCAAGTTGTATAATCAAGTTGTCCATGGAACGGGAATCATTCGTCAAGTAATTTAAATCCAATTTGCTTATAATTACGAATGTCGAGTAAGAGTGCTCACAGGGAGGGGCAGGGGATGGCAACTCCCCCTTCTCTATAAGTTAAAAAAAGTATATCCGATATTACAATTTTGTATAATTTATTACCAAATCATAGGAGGTCCTCACTGAATTTTCACGTGCGGACTTGCTTTTCAACAGCACTGTATTCTATTTAAGTCCATTGGTGATCTAGTAAATATTAGATCACGATAGGAAGTTTCAATGTTAATCAACAACTCGGATAGATCATATTCTTTAGTTTCGTCAACAAAATATAAAAAGAAAAAAAAATATCCACGTTGATCACATCATTGACCTGGTTTTGGGGAAATATGCCATAGTCACTATCATATTTTTAGCCCAGTTGTGAAAGGAATTCGATCTAGTAAACTCTACCAAGTCGTCGGGCTTGTTGATTAAAAAGAATTTACTCAAATGGACTTGTATAATCGCGTGTACATCTCATCTTGATATTTTTTCAAACATTTGTTAAATGCGTAAACGTACTACTTGTGTAAGCAAAAAAATTGTTTGGTAAAAGCATATTATGTTGCCTTAAACTCAGTTTGTAGTGTACGAATTTTAAAATCTTATTTATACTAATACAATATCATATTCACTCAAGTCTCTAATATTACGTACACTATGCATTTATTATTCCTAATTTTATTTTATACACTACTACTACTAATTAATGGTCCACGATTTTTGTAACCAAATATTTTTATTTTTGGAAATATTGGAGGTATTTGGACTTATGTTCCCATAATTATTTAGTTTACATAGCTGCCTATAAATCGACTGCCCCAACGAAAAGGGTCGTATCTCGTTTTTTGCAACTTTTCAGGATGAACCAGACAAACATTCAAATTTAAATTCTTATTCTGTTTTTAACATATCAGTTTGAAAACAGAATAAGAATTTAAATTTGAATCTTTGTTTGGTTCATCCTGAAAAGTTGCAAAATACGAGATACGACCTTTTTCGTTGGGGCGGTCGAAATGTATTATGGTTAGGATAGTTTTCAAGGAAATCCTAAATCTTATTGCCCCGAACAAGAACTACTTTGAATCTGATTTTCAGATCTCCAGTCCTAAAACTTCAAAATTAAGAGAAAGTTTCATCCCTTAAAGGGGGAAAAGGGTTTATGATAATGTTTGTAGTTTTTCAACGTTTTTATATGTAATTTGGAACTAATAAGATTGTTTTCTAAAATATATTTACAATCTGTAATATTAGGTAGAATGAGTAAATTTGAAGAAAATTATACAATGACAGGACGACATGATAGAAGGGGTTGTCCAGTAACACTACTTCAAGCTAATAAGTTATAGTAATTTTAAGTTGAAAAATGTTTTTGTGTTTAATGTCATCAATCCATTTGTTTTTCATATTAGCTTATTGCTTAGTTTAGAAGTAAAATATTCAGTTATATTTTGTTCGTTTTATTTTTTTATGATACATAGCCATAGTCTACATATGCCACAGCTGTTTGTGTTGAAAACAAATGTTTTTTAAAACATATATTGTTATGATGTTTGTGTAGGTACCTATACAAATGTTTGACCTATTTTCTTGCGTGGCCGTAGAACTCTGATGTTCCAATAATTATAGAGAATAACTATTTTGTACATTAAGGTATAATATTATTTTGTTAAATTGTCATAATGTAAACATTTATAATTATTACATAATATTACATTTAATTTGATTGTGTGGAAAATGTAATAATATGTAATACCTTTTTTAGAAAAATAACATTGAGCCAAGCCACCCTATACCTAAAACTTTTAATTAATTCTTTAGTATTGGTATCTGAACTGTCTTAAATAGATTTTAGTAGTTTTTGAATATTTTACAAGATTTACGTAAGTGAAAAAACATTTTTTAAAATTTGAATAATGGTTTTTGGTACAAAATTTTTATTCGCTATAATATTCGTTACAATATGGTACTATCATGCAAGCAAAGTGAAACGATCAGAAACACAAATAATGAAACAACATATGGCCAAATAAACAACTCGTTTTTCTTAAA